TTCTCGGAGGCAAAATGAGCAAGAACGCTCATTTGTACATCATTCTAGAGATAAATAAATGGCCTTTTTAGAAAGTGAACCATGGATGGGGAAATATTGGCAGTTCTCTCAAAAAATGCTTGAATTCAAGAAGTTTTAGATTTAGCGTGGTTTTCTTTGAGTTGCAAAATCCACTTGAACATGACGCTGCTTTGTTCGAAGTTTCTCAAGAACCATTCGAGCCAGAGAATTCGTTTTGGCATAGTTTCATAGAAAATTGAATGGGGNCCCCCCCCTGGATCCGCCCTTGTGTCCAGAGGACAGAGGAACTCTGGACCGGAGGGTCATCAGTATTTAAAAACCCCATAAACGGCCAGACACACGTGCTGATGATAAATCCCAAAACCCGGCCCCATAAATAAGCCGAAGCATGTAATCATATTTCACTTTCGGAATTTGGTAGCGCGGCGCAAAGAAGGGCCCCATATATTCGTTTTCAGCCGCACACATTGGCGCATTATGACGTTCGCCAAAAGGGCTTCTAGATGGCAAAGGGCCCACCTGTCTTCGAGCTTCCGGAGCCCAGACAGTGGGGCCCCTTGTTGCTCCGAACCGATATCGGGAAAGTGCAACAATGATAAAATGCTTTTCAAATAAAAATATTCGGTTACACGCGCGTCATGTCGGCATGTGCGCCTCCTACTGCTTTCAAGGTGTGTTACATTAAATGGCTGTTTGTCCCATCAATGTCCCATTTCGTCTGGAAAACGGTCATTGATTCACCGACTTGTTTACCGGTATATTCGATCTCAATTCGCTCAAAGTGACCCTTTGAATCCGGAATAATGGACCGTTTTGGCTCATTTTGAGCGGATATCGCTAGTGATGAGCAAAGCAAGGATCCAAGACGAAGGCGCAAAAGAGTCCGGAGTTGTCGCAAAAAAGCAAAATAATACAGGGTGTCCCATAAGCACAAAAAGTGTCAAAAGAAGACAATCTGATATAACTTTTACCAACATAAAATGTCTAGTTTATCTGCTACAGATGGCCAAAGTTCTGCAAAAAAAATATTTTTTGAAAATATCGAAAGGATGGTACAATGAATTTTAATAAAACTCGCCATGAATTTGTTCCTGTGTAATACTCACGTTTTGATGAATCATCAGAGCTCATCGCTTTGTTGAAAAGCGTTCAAAAAAATGAAAAATTGTTGAAAATGACTTGAAAAATGTTCAAAAAAATAGTGCATTAAGTCAAAGAAATCAGTTGATTTCGGCCACCAAATCAAAAGTTCTTGTAGTTTTTGTACCAAGACACGCAAGAATTCGTCTTTTGCCCAAAGCGGATGAACTCGGTTGCTTCATCAAAACATGACTTTTAACAAGACCTTTGACCTAGCAGACGAGCCGGACAATTTTCTTAATAAAAGTTAGGTCTCCATTTGAGCCAAATAATGTCTCTGTGCCCTTTTGATCATGTGCTTACGGGACACCCTGTACACAGAAAAGCATTGCAAATGCACAAAATTCTTTCAGTGCGGTAAAAAATTATTTTTTTTTCTAATGTTTTACATGAAATTTAATGTAATGCTCTCTCTAAACTCCTTTTTGCGTCCAAACCCGTGTCGAGCCCAGAGGGCACAATATCGACATCTAACTCAGTCCAATGTATTTGTTGTGCCGAGCCCTTCGGGCCGACACTGGTTTTAATGCAAAAAATGAACATTTGTCGATTTTGGAGTCTTTTTCGTCCAAACCAGTCTCGCTCGTCACTAGATATCGTCGATTAAAACCGCTCAAAGTAAATTTTGAGTCATCGACACCGTACCAAACATTTCCAGGGCACTTTCCTGCTCACCACCAATGAGTTCGGGTGTTGTTTGATGAGCTCGTTCAGCTCCAAACCAGGACAAACCCAGTCAGGAGCAGTAGGGCCGGAAGGCGCGAACGCTGCTGGTACTGGCAGACGACAGATGCATCATTGCACACGAGCCATCTCGGTTTATCTCGCACTACCTGCCTTATCACGTTTACGATACGAAAATGCACGCGATCCTCGAAAAATCTGGAAATCGGGCCTTGTCGAGACCACCTTGTGAACCACTTCCCGTTTAGCGTGTCGGGTTTCCAGCGCGATGTTTGCACGGGGAAGTAAGTGGCAGATGCTTTAGGGGTGCTGGCAGCACGGGCCTATAAATAAACGTGAATCCGCCCCCCTTTGTAGGTTCCTGATGGTTCGGCTTATCGTTGAGACAATTTCTTTACTTAACAGGTATAATGGGGATTTTTGTGCCGCGTGTCAACGACCCACCAAACCCGAAAATTACACAGTTAACAAGTTTGAGCGGGCATTATGGAGGGCACGCAAAATAATTCGGGCCCTTCGCCCCGCTGCTGAAAAGGAATCTGAATGACGCCTTTTCCGGTCTGGCATCAAAAGCATTTCGGTTATTAAAGGGCACTTAGGGCGGCAGATGTTCGGGCAGCCACTGTTCAGCTCAGCCAAAACACACACAGAACATTCATCTACATCAGAGTATTTTCGGTATCAAAACCGCATTAAAATCGAAAAAATTGCCACCAAAGGCCCATGCTGATGACGCAAAGGTTTTCAATTTCCTAAACAGGATTTTCAAAGGTTTTGTCAAGCTAATGGATGGAACATGTTGGGACACAATGGAAGGGCTATTTCCGTCTGTGTGAAAATAGACTGTTGGTGCATTGCACGCCTTTCGCTGCTCTTAAAAAAAATATTCTCTATTAAAAGCTCCATTGAGTCTGGTTTGAAGTCCCAAACTAGAAAATAAACGCCTGCAAGCGACGCCCCTTGATTAACATGTAAACCCCAGAGCGCATTAACACATAAATAATGGGTGGCGCGCATCGGGCCCCCGGCCGTCTAACTTTATTAAAATCTCGAAACGCACCCCTAAAAATCCCATTTCCATATGTTTTACCATATTTCCAGTTAAATCGGGGGGGCGATTTCAGTCGCAACTGTAGAGAACCGAGTGGCCGACAATGACCGAGAGGTGTCTGGAAAAAATTAATTTAAATCGTTATCAGAAGAACAGGTAGTGTGTCTCTTCGTGGACAAACTGGAGATGTTATCGGTCAGTCCTCTGAAACGGCTTAATCGGAATTATGAATTTTTCATAAGAACGGTGACTGATAGTCAACACCTTAGTCGGGTGTGTGAGTAACAGCAGACAGTGAGTCGTGCCATTTTTTTCGTATTATTAGAAAATAGGCCAAACCAATTGGATAATCGGCCGATGGAATGGGGTAATTGGGCGACTTTGACCAACGTGAATCAGCCCAATCAGAGTTCCGGACACGTAATGCGACAATCTTTAATAAATTGTAATTTTGCGGATTTCCGTTGGCGTAAAGACCGGGTACCGTTTTCACGGCCCATTGTTTCGGCTTTTGGTCTCAAAACCGCTCAATGTCTGTGTATGCAAGCTTTGAACTTTTCTACTACAGAGTTACCCATCTATAGCAGCTTTTGACTCAAACATGGGAAGAGCCGAACTTGCAAAGTATACCGGGTGGTAAAATCGTGCAAAAGCAAGCAGTTACTTTTTTGAGAAGCGCCCAAAAATTAGCAACAAGAGACGCTCTCTAAAAAATCAAAACTACCTCACTAGACCAACAGGCCAATTGAAACTTTTACACGGCAAAGACAAGACGATCAGGGTACTTCAGGTAGAAAAATCACGCAAAAACACGCAGTGACTGATTTTTGACAAGCGCCCAAAAATGACAAAAATCAGTCCCATGGGGCGCTCTCTAAAAAATCAAAACTTCCTAACTAGGCCACCGGGCTAGTTGAAACTTTTACACACAAAACAAAGCATTTAGGTGCTTCAGGTAAGAAATTCGACCAAAAGGACCTAGCGATTGATTTTTGAGAAGCGTTCAAAAACTACCAAATATCAGCCACATGAGGCGCTATCTAAAGAAAATCACAAGTTCCTAACTAGACCAACGGGGTTCTTGAAACTTTACACGGCAACAACAAAGGATTCAGGTACTTCAGGCAAAAAAATCGCACAAATACACAAAGAGACTGATTTTTGAGAAGCGCCCAGAAATGACCAAAAATCAGCAGCAAGAGACGCTCTCTAAAAAAGATCAAAACTTCCTTACTAGATCAACAGGCCAATTGAAACTTTTACACACGAAAAACAAAACATTCAGGTGCCTCAGGTAAGAAATTCGAGCAAAAGGACCTAGCGATTGGTTTTTGACAAGCGTTCAAAAATTACCAAATCTCAGCTACATGAAGAGCTCTCTAAAGAACATCAAAACTTCCTAACTAGACCAACGGGGTTCTTGAAACTTTTACACGGCAACAACAAAGGATTCAGGTACTTCAGGCAAAAAAATCGCGCAAATACACAAAGAGACTGATTTTTGAGAAGCGCCCAGAAATGACCAAAAATCAGCAGCAAGAGACGCTCTCTAAAAAAGATCAAAACTTCCTTA